ACATAGGTTAGAAGTTAGGTACATCCATAAGATAATTCAGATTCGGCTTGATTGTGATGGTGTAAGATCTTGGGACATGCTTGGGAGTATATCAGACCCGCACATGACCTTCATCCATTTGTCTATGGCTAGTTCTATTGAGAAGATTATTTACTCTTTATGTCTTTTACATCCACCGATGGACTAAGGAGTACCATTAGAGTTCTTAGAGTATCAGCCAAAGAACGCATTATGTCTTGATAGATCATTTTTCCCCATTCTCTATGCATAACCTCACGCCTATTTTTATGGGATTTACCAAGGATGATATATGAGCATATTATAGATTGCTCTCAAGCGTATGATCCCTCAAGTGGTTTCACGGATTTGTTTCATGTGATTATATCAATTGCGAGAGGGGAGATCATGATGTCGGTTAGAAAGATGATATCATGATAGTCGGCTTCTCGCGATGGAGAAAGACACTAGAGGTATTAGAGCAATTGTTATTGGGGAGGTCTTATTGCGCCTTGTTAGTCGTAGCGTGGTTCTGTAGAATCATTTCCACTTCCAACATCATCTTTAACCATATCAGTTTGATGTCGCCACACCATGACATTATGAGGCGATATCATTATACATTAGATCACTCATAGATATTCATCCGAATTGGGTTGACTTGCATGTTGAGAACACTTTTAATAGTGTCTCACGAGCATCCATCATTAAATATCTTATAGAAGCTAGTGGACCTTTGTTGAGCATCATTCCTTTCGTACAATCTTTCTACGGTTTATATTCTTCTCTCTTCTATCAACATGACTTTTCCCATGAATGAATCACCATTCTACCGTCTATCGCTAGTGTTTGACAATTAGATCCTTTGGGAGAATCTCTATTTGTTATGGTTCATTATAGAACTATTTTGTCTATTTTCTTGACCATGTCAGGTTGTGTGTTCCACTCCTTAGTATATGATACACACATTGCGGGCCTTGTAGACCTCCTTAGACATGGCTTTAATTACGTGACTATAGAGCTTCATCTTGTATGATTGAGAATCAAGGTGTCAAAGTGTAAGGCATGCTCTCCTTTGGGCATTCATCCTCATCTCTAGCTTCTAGGGGAATGTATGACATCGATAGACGGCTTTTACATTCTAGGAATGTCAATATGATCCGATGATTTTGTCTCACACTACCTAGACACGGCACTTACTGAGAATGTATTACATTTAGGGGATCCGCAGATTGTATTTGGTATACTCTCCTCTAGTATTGCTCGTCGATGTATCTATCTACTTTGCATGATTATTTCTTCATATGCATACATATCACGCTTGACAGCCTTGGATAGGAGGATCATGGGGCATCTTTGGCCCAATAATGGCATCTTTGATGACATTATTGGACCAAAGATCTTCGAATGTGTGACATAAAATATGGCACGGAGACAAATATCCTTTCCGATTATGTGTGGAGGAATAGATTTATTATTGATGGAGGAGACGACATCTATAACGGTTTTGATTAGTTGAATACTCTCATCACCTTTGTAATCTTCCCAATTTATGATTGCATATAGATCCATTTTTGAGATGAATGCAAGGGACGTAGATGGGGGATCATTTTCTTTGCATGTACTATTACGACATACAAGAGATGCTTGACCCTGGAGATATGACATGAACTCCCGTCTCTTTCTCTTTGCCCATCGATTGGATTAGAGGCATATAGTCTATCTTGATGGACCGATAATTTTTGCACGCTTTACATTTTCTCTTAGTGAATCTAGCCATTCCTCATATTATTATGACTCCTTTAAGCTCTTGCTCCGGCAAAGATGTAAGCTCGTGAATTTTGGATTGACCATGCATCAAGGCTTTCTTACTCGTATCAACTATCTTTTTTACAACAATGAATTTTCGCTTTGACGTGGTCCATTCATATGCATCTTTATTGCTCACATGTGAATGTGATACTACCTTAGATACAACATTAGTCCATATGACTTGTTGTTCATTCGGAATGCATAGTATAGCTATCTATGATATTTTTATAGTTATAATGTTTACTATAGCACGAGAGTATAGATACCCTACATGGAAGGAGCTTGTATGTCTTGCACTCAACTCGGGTTAAAGCAAACCTATAATTGGTTCGGAAAGATCATGTTATTGTTACATATGGTTACAATATTTTTGAATTTCAAATAGATGATTATACATCCTCATTGCCGGGGGCAGAATGTAACAGCAACAATCTACAAAAGTATACAAATATAAAGGTATGTAAAGAAAGTCACATCATTGGTACTCTAACTTTGGGATTATATTGAATTATTGACAAATACTTCGGGAGAAAATGCAAAAACCTACCATACTAAACAAAAAAGATATCATACTATTTACTTTATAATACAATAGTTTTCAGGTGACGCATATCTATTATTCTTCATAAAACATTAATAAAAAAACATAATGAATAAACGTTTTTTTATGAATTCATTAAATGTTATCTAAAATTTCACCTTAGGTAATATTTCCTCTAATGCCGATATTGTATATGAACCGTTTTTTACTTTGATACTTAAAATATATTAGATGCAATATAACATATTTCCCATGGTGAGCTATTGGAACCTAAACCTCTATCTTACTACTTTGGTTTCATCCCTGCAATGCTTCCCATCCTGTAGCTAAAATTAAAAACTCAAATTCAATGACAATTTCCAAAAGCCGAGGGAAGCTCGGCTTTCCGCGATGCAGAGAGTGAAGCACCATACTAGTGTGCCACAAGATTTTAACCAACATGGATTGTGACAACCAGTCAGCCACTACACGCATGGTCTGTACTTACATGTACAGTACCATGCACATAAGACATTAAATTTGAAAAGTACTTGAAACTACCCATAGAAAACATGGTAGCGAACACAAACACCTTGAGCTACATTGAGGCCATTGCGTCCACAGCGAGGACGTTATTATATTCGCTTCCCAGCCTGTGAATTATAAGAGAAAAAGGATAGATAAATTTGGCTCCAGTGAAAATCTACCATTAAGAGTGAGCTTTCGGTTCCATTCTTTATCTCAGGGATCAAGAGAGCATGGGAAAAAGCCCCCAGTTGATGAAGTACGAAGCACGAGAAAACATGTAACGGAGTCACTTGTCCGATGGGACAGCATTCTTTAAAGTAACTATAATACAGTAATTACACTGTCCTGAGCACTCTCATGGTGTATCGGCACTATGAAAGACTCGCACACGTGGACATTCCTTGTCAAAACTTCAGTAATCGTCCTTCACGATGACTGGCTTTGCAGCTCCAAATGCATCACCATCGCAAAACAGATTGTATTGGTTCCCCATTTCAGCGTTCTGAACTAAAAACTATTGTCACCATGTCATCCTCGAAAGGGAGCAATACATGAATATTTTTACATTGACTACAACAATGACTGCCGCATAATCTTTTCAGAAGTCATTAAGACCATCATCCTCCAAAGCTTCGTCAGAAGCAAATGCCTTGTTGGATGCAACTTCTTGATTCGAAAACTCAGCAGCCTCGTCCTGATACTCATCCTGCTAAAACTTGGAACTGTTACCAGAAATGCAAGTAGATAAACTGGACAAAAGAGAAAAGAAGTACCATTATCTAATTGATCACAAAGTGGCCAAGACTCCTGAGGTACACTCATCGACTGCAGTCAGGCCTTAATTACACTCTACCTCAAATCTTACGGGACATAAAACAGGGTCTACTGCTCTAAAGCACAAGATCATAAGCTTATTATCCTCGGTAGGAATCAAGTTTGGTCAAGAAGAAGAAACTTACAACGTCATACCTGCTCACTTTGGTAGATTAATCTTCCAATACGCTAGCTTTAGCAACTCTTGTTCCTTACATTTCTTCTTGGCTGCTCGGCCTGTTGTAGGTATTTGGTTTACTGCTGTAGGTATCAGCACTATGGCTTTCAACTTGAATATTTTTAACTTTAACCAATCTATTTTCTGTAGAAGTAATACTCTTCTTGATTTTTTGGAACGAAGTGGTTCTACTCCAGGGATTTAGTTGTTTGCCAGCGACCTATTGGAGAGCTTACTTCCATCCTCTTTTCGTCGGCCTACGGATTTTGTGAAGATTGACGAAAAGGGCTGCGGTTAAGGCAAAATGCTTTCGTACTTCATTTAAGAAGCCAACTTTTAGAACAGCATGTACATAACGCTGCATATGGCATCCGATTTAATAGAAGAACCAAAGACAGCGTATCCATGTATGTAAGCAAATCCAAAAGGGGGACGCATCGAATAAAAAAAGCTATGGGAAACCATCGACGACAATACAAAGCAAAGGCCTATATATAGCAAGATCAAGAACAAGCAATCAGTACAAGCTGCGGGACTATTACTGAAATTAAAATGTATGCCAGCACAGTAAAGTTCCGTGGTGGCCTGGATAACCTTCAGGTCACCACGGAACTTTTCCAGGCCAGAACAAACTCTTCACATATCCGAGATAGATAGATAGATATATATATATATATATGAAGGAACTGAAGCTGAATGGAAGATATAAAAGTGGAGGGTAGATGACACCATCTGCGAAAGGACCTAAAGACGCTGAAAACTACAGGTGAAGAACAATAGGTCCGGGGCGATGTCTGTCAAACCTATCGGAAGTGTTACCTGTCAAGCCGATGATCGAGCTGTGTTGAAAGATAATTACTAGCAGAAATACTAGTTTGTTGGCCCTGCCTTGATTTTTGAGTTTAAATGCGCTATTTTCGGTGGATTGTTTAATAGTTTTCACGTTATTTCTTTGCATAGGCGAGAGACTTAGGACGTAAATGGCGCAAACCGATCCTCCTTTAGGCAAAATCTGAGAAGCATTGTGGTCTGCTTCTCGTAACGCAATTAACGATCGAAGAGGACGCTTTTGATCGTCTTCCTTGTCAAAGGTTGCAAAGAACCGAGGAGAGGATGAGACATGTTGCACAACATTGGGTACTTCTCGGCAGACCGATAAAAACTGCGTCTGCCGGGAGTCGAACCCGGGTCTATTGCTTGGAAGGCAATTATCCTAACCGTTGGACTACAAACGCTTGTGCCATACTTACAGAGGTTTCACTATCTGGCATACTTTCTGCAGGTTCCCGGTCTTACAACAAGATTCCTGTGAACGGCGATTTCTATGCGATCCCGGTTCTTTATTATTGACTATTTGGAAAAAAAGAAAATGCTGTTTGAAATTCAGACCCTCAAGAAATGTGAAGAAAGAAACCTAAATTGTAAACGACGAACAATGCAACTAAGCAGGAAGAAGAAGAGTACTCTTTCTTCATTTGGTGAGTCGGGTTTATGAAGGGGACTTCTGCTTCCTGATCTTACTACTGCGTGCCATGGTACTCTGATTGTGCTTTACGCGAACGTTGGCTCGGTTTTCATAGCCGAGGTAAATTCCACCTTCTAAGTGCGAGACATATCGAGGGTCGTTTCGTCGACCCTGGAAATGTTTAGAATGCAGAGTACGTACCTCTAAGACTTGAAAATTCGCTGGCTTTTTGGCAAGCCTTCTTCGCTTTGAAACCTTCGGGACATCTCGTTGGGAAAACCCACCACTGCTCACAGGATCGGAAGCTCTCTTCTCTGCAGGCGGTGATGCTTCAGTCGCATGTTTTGGAAGTGGGACATTACCAGATTCTTCAGTATTTTTATGACTGTCAAAGTCCCTTCCACTGGTCGCGGCAAGGCCCAACTTGCTGCTTGGAGTTTGCTGCCTAGGTGCAGGACTTGCCTGACTAGCTATCGAATTTTCAGAAACTGGCGAGGCTTCGTACACTGGGCCCGTAAACGTTCGTTTGGCAGTGGGATCCCTTGACACACGCAGGCCATCTACTGAACTTTCAGCGGCCACCTGATCACCATCCCCATGGTTCTCAGGGTGCGGTCTCTTTCTCGCGCTTGCACCCCAGGATGCATGAAGTCCTGAAGCAAGTGCCTCTGCCCTTGAAGGCGGTCGTTCATCATCGAACACAGCGCTTGCTTTGCGTTTATGATCGTCCGGCAGACCAGTCGGTACGTCTTCGTTTTCACGGGACCCCTCGACATCCCCCGAAAAGCCTTTGTCCAGCGCATTTTCGTTGAAAGGCATCTCAATGACAGGTGAATTAGATGTCGATGCCTTGGCAATCCTCTCCAAACTTAGAAGTTCCGTTCTTGCTTGAGCCAGACTGAGGGGTAGATCATCATCACTGACGGATGATGTAGCTATATCCTTGCCCTTTAGGCTAAAATTTTTCTTTCTTGCGCCCCTGCCGATAGTGGCCCTCATATCTAACCGGGAAGGCTCGATGTAGGGCAGATCTTTGTCCTGGTTACGCGAAGTGGTAGCTTCGTCGAAGAATGCTGCTGACTTAAGTAAGGAGCCAAGAGGTGCATCATCATCGTCCTCATCCTCCAGGTCATCTGATGGATCCAAGGAACTGGTACTTTGAGAGGGAGAGGATCCGTTCCTTGCGCCCTTTTGGTCAGCAGTCTCTTCGTCACTATCTCCACCTTGTTCACTATCTTTCATGTTGGATAGAAAAGCTTCGAGTTTACTTTTGGGTTTCTGCCTCATCACACCCAGTGATCGCAACCTTCTGGATACCTGGGCTGGTGTAAACTGTCCTCCGAAGCTTTCCGCTATGGTCCTTGAACACTTTCTACTGGTGCAATGTCTGCACCCTCCCACACATAATATTATTTCCCAGATAATACAAAGGTAAGGCATTTAAGCATCAGCTGAGAAGATACATATACACATCGATAACAGAAAGATTTGCAGTTACAGTAGAGAAAGGAGTAGAACCGAGGACTGCTTGACCTGAAGGGAAGAATTAAAAGTAAATATGATAGAAATACGGTTGATCATTGAATACTCGGAGACAAAAAAAACTCACTATCTAGTTGAAGAATATGTTGCGACAAAAGCAAAAAGTCTGATAAGTTGCAACTCGTACCCAGGATGTACAGCACTATAGCGGTAAAGCAATTAATTTAATGCTCTGCATTTCTCTCAGAGTACTTCCATCTAAAGTTCACAACGCACCTTTCAAAGAGCACTTTTAGCTCTTCGTCTTGGAGCTCGGTGAAAAGACTGCTCTTTTTTCTCTTCCTGCTTCCGACACCATTTGAACTCTTTCTCTTAAGCTTTCGACTTTCGATTCTGCCACGCTTTTGATACTGGTTTGTTTCCTCAGCATCCGATGGACCTCTTCTTTTCCCTTTACGTTCCAAAAGACCCAGGTCTCGGAGCTTCCGCTTAACCTGCTCTGCTGTAATCCCAGCTGAGGAATCAAATTCATGTGCGATGAGCTTGACGTAGTCGTGCTCGTCCTTGAACCTTGATATAGAAAATAGGCAAACATTCCAGCTTTAAATCAAAATGCCTTTCCTGATGGGACAATGTCGGGAACTGTCACATTGTGAAACGAAGGGGTGTTTAATTTGTAAAAATCTTCACAAATTTTAAACGTAATATTGAGCTAACGGAAAGTTTATTGCACGCTATAAGGCCCTCGGAAACATTACGAGCTAGTTGCCTAGAACACACAGCCTTACTCAAATTTTACACGTGAGATGATAGAACGCCCGCGTATGACTACGCCATCTTTCGTGTGTCTGAGATTAATAGTAGCACTCGCAGATACCAGAGGATTTGCGACCTTTCAAAGAAACTTACTTAGAGAAAAGCTCCTTGATTTGTGCCTCCTGGGACTCAGATAGAGGACTGCATTCAATTGCGGTAGGTGAGTCGCACTGATCATCATCCTCAGAAGCATCCTGTTCGTCTCTTTCTGCTCCAGACCTGCGACATCTATCACTTACTCAGAACATGCTTCAAGCTTCCAGGCAACAGTTGTTCAAGTCATTAGACGGCACCAACCAAAAGCGTGGCTGAAGCGTGGCCAAATCAGGCATGCTAACAAGAATGGACACGAAATTATTCCTCTTCAGACACACAGAAGAAAATTCATCGCAACTCTAGTCTCTTGGAGGGCAATTCAGATACTAACCGTCCATTCCCGTCTTTAGCTCTCAATTGTGGGGCAGAATCCTCATCATCGCCCAAAGCGTCGGCGATGTTGATCCGTTGTGGCCCATTTGAGGAACCACCGACTGCCTTCTTTAGTTTGTGAATCATGTAGTCCGCAGATATATTGTGGCACTCATGTTTGAGCTTCCAGAAGAGAAGCTCAATATACAGCATTGGCTGATTCTTCAGTTTTTTGAAAAACCCGCGCACCACTTTTGTCAGGAACCCCACTACAAACTTGTGGTCTTTTGTCACTTGCAGCTGCTTATCGGAGAGAATCGTGTAGAACGTAAGAAAAATTGAAAGCTGCGAAAAAATTAATTTACCAGATCAGTCTCAGGTGAAAGAACTACGTAAGCGAATCCTCAAGAGTGGAAATCGATGTTGAAAGCTTCAAGACAAGTCACCTGATAGAGCATAGGTTCTAGCACGCGGTCCTCACAGATGCGCTGCAACATGCGCACCACATAGTAATTGGTGGTGACAGAGTTGCTTGTATAGTATTTTAGCAACCAGCAATAGTTTCGAACTATTGTATTGTCTGCGAACCTCCGAAACACCAACTGATTAACATCGAGGCTGACTTCTTTGGTCATCGACTCTAGTTCCGCATCATCGTCATCATCATCATCATCCTCATCTGGAACTATTTCGACTGAATTTCGGCCAACCTCTTCGGCGTTTTCACCCCAGGCTTCAGTGTTGACTGTGGTCGAGTTATCTGTAGGACCAATTGCCAAGGCTTCTTGAGCACTGTCGGACACTCCGACACCATCAAGTGGAAATTTTTCAGTGTCAGGAATTCCTGAGGGTTCCTCTGCCAAACTAGAGGTAACCTCATCAGTCTTAGCTATCTCATCAACGTCTCTCTCTTCAACCTCAGGCGCTTCCATGGCAAGAGGCGGCCCAGGCGAAACTTTTTCAGCCTTCCTTACGGCCGACTTAGCCTTCTTGCTGACTCTTCGCGCCTTTTGCAAAACCTGTTCCAATCAATCCCTCTTGGTTAAAACTTGCATCACTAAAGGCTCCTTGTCAAGTCTGACGAAATGCTAGTAAATCGGAAACTACATGCATACGATTAAATTAACCGGTTATTGGAAAACAAAAGTATGGAAGATAACAAAATATTTGTAAGGATTACCCGAAGAGTTCCTTCTTTCGTTGCATCCTCCAGGATACGAAGGACAATGTGCGTTATCTCCACAAGATCTGCCAAGAAGCTGCATGGAAACTTTTTTGTTAACTCCAACCTCATGATGTCACTTCCACAGTCGAGGAATAGAACCTAAATAGACTTTTCGGAATTATGGGGTGGGTTATTTTGCCAAAGGGAAAACGCATGACGACTGGGCAGCAAGCTCACCTTCGGGGTTGCTTGTGGATGTCAAAGCCTTTTAGCAGAGAAAGTACTGTCTGAAGAATACCAGTTTCTGTCTGATCATAAAAAACCTTGTAGACCAAAGTACGGGCGGTACGGAGCTCTTGTAGACCCTCTGCGGTCATTGGGCCGGAACGTTTCAGGACAACATCGAGCATATGTATCTGCACGAGCAAAAATCTAAGTCCGAATTAAATATGTCAAGAAGAAGTAAATTGTAATAAAATATCTGCACTAAAATTAATGTAAACAGTGTAGCCGGTGAACGCCTGTGACAAGACCAACTCAGAGAGACGTGACCTGGTGAAGAAGATTAGCCACATTTGTACGAAAACGAGTACTGCAGTTTTCAATGGACATAAAACACCAACTCAACACATTTCCCGGATGAAGAAGGTTGGCACCAACATCCGTCTCTAAAAAGGATCAAGGCTCTTACATAACATTTTTCGAGTCAGGTGGATACCCAACATAACCCGGGTCTTGAATCTCCACAAAATGCAGATGGCCATGACTATTGCGTCAGTCAAGTAAGCCAACAACCTAGGAGCAGAGATTAAACTCACCATATCCTTCATCACTGCAACCCCGGCAGCGACCGGACCCCAATCTTTGGTCGTCTGAGCTTCGTCGATATACAAGCACCAC